CCCGGCCCCCCGGTCCAAAACAGTCCAGTGGCACCTTTAAGACCAAGTTTTGTTCAGGTACAAGCTCTCCCTCCTCAGCGAGGACAGATCTGCACGTTCCCCCCCACACACACACAATAGCTAGCAATCCAAAACAGTCCAGTGGAGCCTGAGCAGAGGGTGTTGCCTTCTGACACACGTCCGGTGATGGGAAAGAAGAGAGTTTAAAATAGATAGGGCATGGTTTCCTGTCCTGAAAAACACAGAATGTTCTACATCTTACAACAGCAGTACCGATAAAATTAGAATTCCAACAGCCAATCCCTATGCAAAAGAACCTTCTCAGGAAAGCTCCTCCATTAGCATGTTCATAGCCTGGGGAACTCCGACAAGATAATGACTCAGCCCTACCCCACCTTCCTGAGTAGATATCAATTACCTGCCTACCATTTTCCTTCTTCTCGCCTTGACACAGAGAGTACTCCATCTTTCTATGTTATACCTCTGAGGATGCCAGTCACAGCTGCTGGCGAAACGTCAGGTCCTACCATGCCAAGACCACAGCCGCACAACCCGGAACATCTAGAGCAACTCATATTTTTGTTAAATTATTTTTTATCACCAATTTTTTTTCTACAGACGAAACCAGACCAAACCAAAAATAGACAGAGCAATAGCTCCATATAGGGGACAGCAAGATCTCTCCAGAATCATAAAAACAAACACAAGATAAATTAGAAATATATTATGGTAGAACTTCCTTGCTCCTCGCAAGACCACAGCCGCACAACCCGGAAAATCTAGAGCAACTCATCTTTTTGTTACATTATTTTTTATCACCAATTTTTTTTCTACCGACGAAACCAGACCAAACCAAAAATAGACAGAGCAATAGCTCCATATAGGGGACAGCATCATATCTCCAGAATCATAAAAACAAACACAAGATAAATTAGAAACATGTTGTGGTAGTTGTAAAGCAGATATGTACAAACCATCAATATTTCAAACCAGCTTACAATGCCATTCCCAGAAAGACATAAGTACTCAGTGCTCATATACATCAGGCAAGTCAAAAGTAAATAAGATCATGATAAAATTTGGATTTTAATTAGATAAGAAATTATTGGGAACCAAGAGCGTTCTACCTTCTGAGTCTCCCCTTGAACCCCCTACAGAGGCGTATTGGGGGCTCCCGTACTCCACTGCACTCCCTGGGGGGGGGGGGTGCAGGCAAGGGACTTGAGCCGGGTTCCCAGCTTACAGTGTCTTTAACGGTGAAAGTTCTTGGCTGCTGGCCACGGCAGACCTTTGACCTCGCCTCGCTCTCTCCTCAGGGATCGTCTACGGCACGGGGGAGTGCTGGCGGCAGCTGCGCCGCTTCGCCATCACCACCTTCAAGAACTTCGGGATGGGGAAGCGGTCCATCGAGGAGCGGATCAAGGAGGAGGCCCAGTTCCTGATGGAGGAGCTCCGCAAGACCCAAGGTTGGCCTCGCAGGCTCGGGGGGGGAGGATTTATGCCACCCAACTGTCCCAACAGACCGAGCACTTCTGCCCAGGGTGTCTGCGGAATGGCCCTCCTGGGTGGGGCTGCTGCTGCCTCTTTGGGTTGGTCCCGAGCAGTGTTCCCTCTAAGCTGAGTTAGTGTGAGCCAGCTCACAGTCCTTTAGCCTCCGCTGCACACATTTTGGTCTTCGCTCAGGAAGGACGGGTCTCCAGAGCAAAAAAATTGATGCACTAGCCAAATCGCTCGCTCATAACTTTCATGCCAGGAGCTCACAAAGTAGAATTTTTGCTCACAGGACTCCACAGCTTAGACCAGGGGTGTCAAACAGGCAGCCCGGGGGCCGGATCAGGCCCCCAGAGGGCTTCTATCAGGCCTGCAGTGGAACCAGCTGTCTTCTGCTGCTGCTTCCAGTTCTGCTGCTGCTGCTGCGTCATCGTAGGTTTGCAGCTTACAGATACACACCCCTGAACAGCATACTCAAGACTGCAAAGGCACAGACATTTTGATGCAGTAATCCAGAGCAAGAGGTGTCAGTTATCAGACACTGTTCAATAAACAAAATATTGCAAGAGTGCTAATGTTTTAAGCATGTTTTTATTTTAAGTAAAAAAACACACCACCCTTTGTGTTTGTGTGTTTGCGTCCTTTATAAAGTTTATATCTCCGCTTCCTGGCATTACATTTTATGGCACACACGTGGCCCCGCCCGACGAGGTCTCATTTATGTCAGATCCGGCCCTCGTAACAAATGAGTTCGACACCCCTGTCTTAGAGGGAGAACTGGTCCTGAACTGTCTCCATATAGGAGGAGATCAGCAAGCACTGACAAGGCTCACTCGCTAAATTCGAAGCTGCTGGTGAAGGCACAGAAGCCAGGCCGGGACACCAGGCGGCTGCTGCAAAGGCTGAGTCAGGCAGGAAGGAGGGCTCCCCTTTCCAGCCAGGGACACACACACCCCTCAGGTGCTCGCTTGGGGAAGCACAAGGAGCTGCTTTGCAGACACCGATTCCCAGGCATCAGCTGCACAGAAGGGGCCTTGCAGCTCCTTCTAGGTTTGAGCTCTGGGTTAGGAAAGACCTGGAGATTTTTTTGGAGGGAGGGTGGAGCCTGGGGAGGGCGGGGCTTGGGGAGGGGAGGGGCCCCAGCAGGGTAGAATGCCACAGAGTCCACCCTCCCAAGCAGCCATTTTCTCCGGGGAAGCTGATCTTGGTCATCTGGAGATCAACTGTAATAGTGGAAGATCTCCCGGTGCTACCTGGAGGTTGGCAACCAATTTTGAGCTGCTGTTTAGAAAAGCTCTTGCTACGTTGCTGCAGGACTTGGCTGCACAGCCCCGGGGAGGGGGGGCACGCGTGTACCCCTTGCTTGCTTGAGATGACAAACTGCCCTGAATGGCTAGTGGCTGAGCCCTGCCAATACCTCCAATATATAGGAGGTAATGGCCCTGCACATGGGCTGGAGTCCAAACACGCCAACGGGCTCCAAAGGCCAAGCCCGTGCATCGCTATGGCAACCTTCAGAGGTCCTGCGGCGGGTGCCCTGCTGGGGGTGCCCTGGAGAACTGAGATTAGGCAAGTAGCAATCCAGGGGAGTGCCTTCTCAGTCAAGGCACCAAAGCTCTGGGATAGGGATGGGCACGAACTGGGGAAATGCGGTTTGTGATGGTTTGTGGTAGGCCTGCCTTGCGAACCACAAACCGTCACGAACTTTTTAATATATATATAATTTAATTTTTTAATTATTTTTAACTTACAAACTTCAATATATAACAGGTTAACAACAATCAAAAGAGAATATTGCAAATAGGAAATATAAAACAACTGTGTAACAAATAAATTGCATGGCTGAATAGTACTTTGGTCAATGGTTTTCTCACAGGAATCGTATATAGTTTAAAAATGAAGTAGGTTCTTAAAGTGTTCATTTCTCGGAATGATTTCTCCTTCAGCAAGGTACTGAACTACTGGGAACCAAATTGCTTGGAATTTTTTTGTATTGTCTTGGGATTGTTGCTACGTTATTTTTCAATAAATAAAATGTTCCCATAATTTGTTTTGCCAGTCAGATATGTCTGGGGTGGCTTTTCCTTCCCACTTCTGTGCAATAGTTATTCTAGCTATAGCTAGTAGCGTCACGAACTTTTGAGGGCTAAACGAACCCAGTTTGGTTTGTGAGATTTGTGATGCAGTAGAGGGGCCCCCCCCCGAGCATTCTAGAGACACCAAACTCAGAAGAGATCTCCAACTGACTCTCCTCTACCTGCCCTCCAAGTTTGGTGAGGCCTAGATTTACAGGGTCCGAGTTACAGCCCCCCAAAGAAGGTGCCCCTACCCTCCATTGTTTCCAATGGAGGGGGGGAAACAGTGAAAAAAGCAAGGGCAAGGAGTGTATAGAATGGATCCTGTGCAAGGTGGAGCCACCAAATTCATGGGGGATCTCTGGCTGACCCTCCTCTACCTGCCCTCCAAGTTTGGTGAGGTCTATTTTTCCGAGTTACAGCCCCCCAAAGAAGGTGCCCCTACCCTCCATTGTTTCCATTGTAGAAACTGAAGGGGGGGAGCGGTTTTGCAAGCCTAGCAGAACCAGTGCCACTGTGGCACTGCAAACCCTACAGGACTAAAGTCACACCAGAGAATCTCTGCAGTAGAGACTGAAGGTGGGGGGCATTTTTACATGCCCAGCAGTACCAGTGCAATCAAAGAGTGCCCAGCAGAATCCAGTGCCATTGTCGTAATTGCAGCTCAACATGACTGAGGTCTAGCTCAGAATCACACTCCAAGCAAGGAGGAGGTACAAGCCCAGCACAACTAGTTCAGTGTACAGAATGCCCAGCAGAACCCAGTATCACTGTAGGAATGCAAGCTTAAAAGGACTAATCTCAAAGCACAGTGTCACAAGAAATCCAAGGAAGGGGGAAGTTGCAAGCCCAGCACAACCAGTCGCAATGTGCAGAGTGGTCAGCAGGACCCAGTGCCACTGGCATTGTGGAGGGCTGCTCTCAAAGCACAGAGTCAAAACAAATCAAAGTGGGAGGGGCAGATTTTGCAAGCTCTGTGCAAGAAAATGGGAAGAGAAAACAAAGGAAGGCTGGCAAAGTGGGGGGGGAACCCTCTTGAAACTGACAAGACTAGTTTGAAACTGACCCCCCCCCCATTGCTTCGAAGTTTGGTAAATATTTAGAATGAGAGGAGATAGTGTGTCTGGAAGCGTATCCGTTCTCGAACTGACACGAACCTCCATGAACAGCTTGAAAGTTCATGGAAAATTTGTGCTGGTTCACCTGCTACAAATTTCACTTCACGAACCACCAATTGCCCAAAGTTCATCACGAACTTTTGTTCGTAAGCTGCTTCATGCCCATCCCTGCTCTGGAACTCTCTCCCCAGGGAGACCCGCCTGTCCCCCATCTTTTGACAGTGGGCGTTTCGTTTCGCATTCCCTCAACAATCCCTGTAGAATGTTTTAATTGCTGTTTTATATTTTGAAATCCTCTGTTTTTTAATTGTTTTAACGATGCGTGTTTCGACAGGGCTTGATTTTTAATGGTTTTAAAATGAGATCTTTATCATGTTATGTTTTAAATCATTAGCTGCCTTGTCAGGGCGGAAAGGCGGGATACAAATTTTGTAATTATATGAATAATCCCTGCCTGATTATCGTCTCTCCCCCCCTCCTCGCTGCCTCTTGGTGTGTTGACAGGCAAGCCCTTTGACCCCACCTTCTTCCTGAGCTGTGCCGGCTCCAACATCATCAGCACCCTGGTTTTCGGAAGCCGCTTCGAATACACGGACAAGAAATTCCTCATGTTGATGGACCTCATCAACACCAACTGGAAGCTCATGAGCTCCACCTGGGGACAAGTGAGTCCGAGGCTGGGAGGGGGGGGACGCGGGGCTCCCACCTCCTGGGGTGTCTCTCTAGAAGAACTGCAAAGGAGGGGAACACAGACTCTGCCAGTTTGGCATAGTGGTTAGGTGCGCAGACTCTAGTCTGGGAGAACCGGGTTTGATTCCCCACTCCTCCACTTGCACCTGCTGGATGACCTTGGGCAAGCCATAGTTCTGACAAGAGCTATTCTTGAAAAAGAGCAGTTCCTGTCCAAGCTCTCTCAGCCCCACCGACCTCACAGGGGGTCTGTTGTGGGGAGGGGAAGGGAAAGGAGTTTGTGAGCCACTCTGAGACTCCTTTGGGTAGTGAAGGGCGAGGTAGAAATCCAATCTCTTCTTCTTCTTCTTTCCTTCCTGCAGTGTTGGGCATTCAGCAGAATGGTGCGG